TGTCAAAGATATACACTGTAGGAAGGACATCCTATTTAATAAATGGTACTGGGAAAGCTGGCTTGCTATTTGCAGATGAATGAAATTGGACCCGTCTTTCACTGTATATAAAAATTAATTAAAGATGGATTAAATACTTAAATGTAAGACCTGAAACCCTAAAAATCCTAAAAGAAAACCTAGGAAAACCTCTCTGACATTGGCCTAGGCAAAGAATTCATGACTAAGACCTCAAAAGCAAATGCAACAATAGTTCAAGACAAATGGAATTTTGTCCAATTTTTAATGGGGCCATTTGTTTTGTCTTTTGAGTTGAGTTCCTTGTAGACTTTGGATATTAGCTTTTTTTGGATTCACAGTTTGCAAATACTTTATCCCATTCTGTAGGCTGTTAACTCTTAATTATTTATTTGCTGTGAAGAAGCTTTTTTGTTTGTCCCACTTTTCTTAAGCATTGTTTTGCAAAAATAAGAATCTAGATGTCGACCTTACACTGTTTACAAAAGTTAACTGAAATTTGTTTATAGAGATAATGTAACACACAAACTATAAAATTCCGAGAAGATGACATAAGAGAAAATCTAGATGACCTTGGCCTCACAATGGTTTTTTAAATACAACAACAAATGCACAATACATGAAAGAAAAAACAATTATCTGGACTTCATTAAAATTAAAAACTTCTACTCTATGAAAGACACTTTTACGGGAATGAGAAGTTAAGTTCAATGAGAATAAATAATTCCAAAAAATATATCTTGTAAAATATTATTATCCAAATTATTCAAAGATGTTTTAAAGCTCAACAATAAGAAATTGGTGATTTCTTACAAAACAAAAATATGCTTACCGTATGATCCAGCTGGTGTGCTTTTGATATTTGCTAAATGAGTTGAAAAATTATGTCCACAAAAAACTTGCACATGGACATTCACGGGACCTTTATTCATTGTTGCCAAAATTGGAAGCAACCAAGATGTTCAATAGATGAATAGACAAACAAATGTGGTACATCAGTATAAGGAAATACTATTTTATTATTATTTAGTAGTAAAAAGAAATAAGCTTTTGAGGTATGACAAGATATGGAGAAATCTTATGCATATTAGTAAATGAATGATACCAACCTGAAAAGGCTACATGCTGTGTTATTCCAACTATATAATAATCTAGTAAAGGCAAAACTATGGCAACACTAAAATGTTCACTTGTTACCAAAGACTAGCAGGGAAAGGCCTAAAGAATAGGCAGAGGCCGGGTGGGGTGGCTCACTCCTGTAATCCCAGCACTTTGGGAGGCTGAGGCGGGTGGATCACGAGATCAGGAGATCGAGACCATCCTGGCGAACACGGTGAAACCCCGTCTCTACTAAAAATAACAAAAAATTAGTCAAGCGTGGTGACGGGCACCTGTAGTCCCAGCTACTTGGGAGGCTGAGGCAGGAGAACGGCGTGAACCCGGGAGGCAGAGCTTGCAGTGAGCCGAGATCACGCCGCTGCACTCCAGCCTGGGTGACAGAGCGAGACTCTGTCTCAAAAAAAAAAAAAAAAAAAAAAAAAAAAAAAAAAAAATTGGCAGAGCACTGAGATTTTTAGGCAGTGAAACGATTCTGTATGATGCTATGGTGGTGGATATATGGCATTATACACTAGTCAAAATATATAGAATGTACAACACAAAGAGTGAATCCTTTGTAAACTATGAACTTTGGTTGATGATTATATCTGATTGTTGATTTATTAACCATAAATTAATTAACCTCAATAATAAGGTTGTTGATTGTGGGAGACTATGTGTTGGTGCTGGGAAGGAGTTAGTGGGAACTGTATACTTTCCACTTAGTGTTGCTGGAAACTTAAAGCCGCTGTAAAAATTAACTATATTAATTTCTTTAAAAACCCTCGAATTCACCACTCCAGCAAAGCTGAGATTAGCATCATTCTGTGACTGTAGATGGCTTAATATCGATACCCTATTGATCATTTGGAGTGAGGTGGGGATTCTGTAGGATGAGATGTGAGACATCACTGAAGCAGCAAGGAGGGAAACTTGGATTCTAATGAAAAATCTTGTATTGATGCATTAATGACACTCTAACTCACTGAGTCACCAAGTGCTAATTTCTAAACAAAACACACACACACACACAAAATTTAGATTAGTTGGTCTCAGAGACCCCTTTTGTCTCTAAATTGTCTATATTTCTTTCATTCTATTAAAGAAACTGTCAAGGCAGGAGCCTTACCTTAGCCAAAGAAAGGAGGAGCACAGCAAGGACAACTATCTCTTGAGGAATAAATTTATTGCTCTAAGCTAGTTTGGTTCTTTTAGAGTTTATAGCTACATGAGTCAGGCAGTAAATTACTGCTTCTCTTCGCCCTGGATAAAGGGCTCATGAGGACCTGGACTCATGATTTAAAGGTAATAAAACCAAACTCTTCTGACCCACATTTTACTCAACTGGTGCTGGAATTATTAACTAAATTAATGTTTGTTTTGAAAGTCACTAATTAGATCAGTCCTGAAATACTGAATTTCAGTAGTTCTTGGTAATATAGTTGAAATGAATTTTTAGGATAGAGAGAAGGCAGCAAGATGCAGCAGTTGTTGGTTCCAGCTCCAGCTTGTCCACATGTATTCTTTGTGTCCTTGGCCAAAGTACTGAATCTCCATGGCCCAGTTTCTCCTTTCTAAAGTGGGAATAATTGAAAGAATAGAAATATATGTGATCAGCGTGAAAATTCTCTGTAAATTTTTCATTATCTCTGTAAACATAATCAATAAAACGCTGTATATGTGGGTCTTAAATTTTTATTAATTAAAAAGCTGGAAATTACTGCACTAGTCAATGTAAAATCAGTATTATGATATCTTTTCAGAACATGGCTTTGCACACACACTTTGTCATTGGTGATCTAGTAACATGTATAAATCTAGTTGTATTTAGATCTTCATGACCGCTGAATATCAGTTTCCATTCAAGTCTGCACATAGTGATAGTTTTGTGCTCTGGGTCCATTCAATGATTTTTCTACCTCCCATCATCTATTGAATCCACAGCTGTTGTTCTGTGTATCACTTTCTCTTCCTTGCTGTGCATTATTGCATTCTATTATTTTTTACAATGACAGACCAAAAACAACAGAAGCAGCCATGTCTGGAGGTGACTGAGAGGTGGAGAAGCCACAGATTCTCAAGTTCTCTCCAATAAATTATCTGAAATTGACCTTTTCCTCAATAATGCTGACAACTTTCACTATATGGTGATGCAGAGGAGAGGACTCTAATTTTTATTCCTTCTTTTGAGCATCTCTGGTCCTCTTATTCTTCTAGACAAATGAGCCTCTATTTAATGTGAAGCCTGTTGCTTTCTGAAGAGAGTCAACGTGGTGTATCTTTAGAGTAACTAATATCTAGGGGTTTGTTTTGTTTTTCTAAAATTGTTCTTGAGCCAGCTCTGGTGTAAGTGATAATACACCCCAATGGGCATTAGAAGATCTCTGCTCATATGCCAGTTTTACCACCTATCAGCTGTGTGGCACTGACAGGTGTCCGGTCCTCCCAGAGTTTCTCTTTCCTCATTTGAAAAATTAAAAAATGATAATCTTTGTCTTGCAGTTCTTAACTTAATGATGAAAGGCATGTAAATTTATTAGTTAATAATTTGATTTATTAGCTAATTATTAGCTAATAATTTGGTCATTAAAGATGTATGAGTAATTTTTGCTATTTCATGTCTAAAGCGATGTATTTTTTCTTTTTTTTCTTGTTTTTGTTTTTCTTTATTATTATTATTATTATTATACTTTAAGTTCTAGGGTATGTGTGCATAATGTGCAAGTTTGTTACATATGTATACTTGTGCCATGTTGGTGTGCTGCACCCATCAACTCGTCAGCACCCATCAACTCGTCATTTATATCAGGTATAACTCCCAATGCAATTCCTCCCCCCTCCCCCCTCCCCATAATAGGCCCCAGTGTGATGTTCCCCTTCCCGGTCCAAGTGATCTCATTGTTCAGTTCCCACCTATGAGTGAGAACATGGGGTGTTTGGTTTTCTGTTCTTGCGATAGTTTGCTGAGAATGATGGTTTCCAGCTACATCCATGTCCCTACAAAGGACACAAACTCATCCTTTTTTATGGCTGCATAGTATTCCATGGTGTATATGTGCCACATTTTCTTAATCCAGTCTGACACTGATGGACATTTGGGTTGATTCCACATCTTTGCTATTGTGAATAGTGCCACAATAAACATAACGTGTGCATGTATCTTTATAGCAGCATGATTTATAATCCTTTGAGTATATACCCATTAATGGGATGGCTGGATCATATGGTATTTCTAGTTCTAGATCCTTGAGAAATCGCCATACTGTTTTCCACAATGGTTGAACTAGTTTACAATCCCACCAACAGTGTAAAAATTGTTCCTATTTCTCCACATCCTCTCCAGCACCTGTTGTTTCCTGACTTTTTAATGATTTAGAGTGATGTATTTTTAGTCAATTATATTAAATATCTGAAAGGCTTTCATTATCAAAGTTTCCTATTATTTGAAGTAGCATTAAGATACATTTTTCTTTATATGAGGCATAGAATACACTGATTTCTCTCAAAGTCATAAATTCCCAACTGGTCATTAATGTGAGAATACTGACTTTTGAGTGATTTTCTAGCATCCAGTCTAAATGACTTCAGTGTTTCTCCATCATCTTTGCACATTGAAACAACCAGGGTCTTTTATGTTTGTAATTATCACTACCTTGACTCCAATCCAATGCAATTAAACCACAGTGTCCTAGGTGGACACTGGAAAGAAAAAGACAACAAGACTAAAAAATATTTTTAATTGCTCAATGAGCCAAAGTCCATTCAGAAAATAGCATAACGTGTATCTAGGTGATTGGTCACCTTACATGTTAACGAGGCATGCCTGAATTAGCGGGGAGAGATATAAAAGGCTTGCAGTGCAAGCTGCCAGTTGTCTTAGTAAGAAGAGAAGGCTTCAGTGGATCCTTTTGTGGTCCTGGTGCTCTGTGTCTCCTGTTTGCTTCTCCTTTCACTCTGGAGACAGAGTTCTGGGAGAGGGAAGCTCCCTCCTGGCCCCACTCCTCTCCCTATTATTGGAAATATCCTACAGTTAGATATTAGGAATATCAGCAAATCTTTCAGCAATGTAAGTATGCTTTATATTCCTCCAGTGACTTGAAAAGGGTAAGTTCTTTGACTTCTATTTTTAAATAAAATATATTCCTGGTACCACACTATTAAAATGGATCACTGTAAAGCAAAATACTCCCTGCAAACTTTGCTATTTCTCTTGTCTTTTCCATTCTGTCATTGTGGGAAATAGTGGGATGAGTTAATGCATTTTGTGAGTGGAGAAACATTTTGGTCAGTATATGGTAGAATCAAATCAATATAGTGGAAAAAGTTTGGAGTGATGGTTCTCTTTTTTGCTTCATACCACTTTGCTCTAATTTTTGGCTGAAGGTAAATTGTAAGGAAAGTGTATGAGTTTAAAGATGTCATCCAATAAGTCATCTATTCTATTAATCATATGTTTTATTCAGAATTGCTATGAAAATTGAAGTTCTCTGAAGAATAAATTAATGCTTAATGTGAAGGCAACAGCTATGGGTTCAGGATCAACATAAGTAGATGAAAGAAAGACATATTCAGTCAGGAACCAATTGGTGGTAACAGAGTTCTTTTGAATTCTGCATAAAGCTGCCATCTGTGGCTAAGGTTGCTGGAGGATGGAAGACATTGTTCTTCCAGCAGATGCTGAATGTCCTGTTTCTGTCTCTGTGGTGCTTACTTTTTCTGTATTGGCAGTAGCAGCAGTTAGAAACTTGACTTGGCATTAGAATCACCTGGAGTGCCTTATAAAATATGGATTACTAGTGTTCATCACAGGACTGCTGAGTCAGAATCCTTACTGTTGGAGCCTTCCAGGTGACACTAAAATTGTCAGCTGGGTATTGGTCTCAAGGTGGACACGGGGGACTGATAAATTGCTCAGGCATCAGAGTTTAAATTAGCAGAAGTTCCAGTTTGGAGCTTCTATAGACTACCTGTGGGACTCTGAAAATGAATTTGGAGTTCTCCTGACCTCCGTTTCTTTATTTATAAAACAGGGCAAATAAATGTGCTGAATGTGTTAAAGTGAGGATGAACCGTGACTTGTGTACCAATTGCCTGGGTCATTACACGGCATGTCACAGGCCATCTAAAATGGCAGCTATAACAATCACTATCACATTTATGTAAAAAATTCAGAAATATCAAATCTGTGTGTAATAAATATAAACATTAAACTATACAATGATAATAGCAGTCTGAATCATACATAATATTTGAACCAAACAGCCACTTATTTTGCTGCTATTTGCATCTCCTTTCCCAGTTCTCAAAACTCTACGGCCCTGTGTTCACTGTGTATTTTGGCCTAAAGCCCACTGTGGTTTTGCATGGATATGAAGCTCTGAAGGAAGCCCTGATTGATCATGGAGAGGAGTTTTCCGAGAGAGGTGCTTTGCCACTAATTGAAAGAAGTCAGAAAGGGCATGGTAGGTGTGCAGGTGCCTGTGTCAGCATTGGTAATTAGGGTTAGGAGGATGAAAAGCAGAGACTTGAAGGCAGAGCTTAGCCCATCTGCATGGCTGTTGAGTTTCATCTTCATCTTCTTTACCTGAGAATCCCCTCCTAGTTTCTGTTCTTTTTTTGTTAGGAATCATTTTCAGCACTGGAAAGAGATGGAAAGAGATGCGGCGTTTCTCTCTTTTGACCTTGCGAAATTTTGGGATGGGTAAGAGAAGCATTGAGGACTGCGTTCAAAAGGAAGCCCGCTGTATTGTGGAGGAGTTGAGAAAAACCAATGGTGAGTGACTCTACTCTGCATCACTGACCTTAACAGTCAGCTCTCTTTACTAAGGATGTTCTTGGTACATTTCAAGGATGGTCAGATCTTCATTGAGCATCCTGGTTGTCAGCCCCCGAGTGGTGGAGGGAGGTTTAAAGCAGAGAGAAAAGGGAGCTTGTGTGTGTCTTTGTGGGTGTACAGGCATGATAATGCACACAGTGTGGGTATAAAAGGTCATTTAATCCTGTTTTCTCCTCAATTTTGTTTCCTTGTTTTCAAATTAGAAATCATAAATGCAGGTCTTCAGTTCATTTTTGAAAAGCATTAAACAGCAATGTTTCCCCTATAGCATAAACCTGGGTTCCAGCTTTCAGAACATTTCACCAGAAAATACTTGGCTAGTGAACATGGTGGGAATTACCCCATCACACCCTTATGGAACGTGAACCAAGTGACATGTGCTTTCATTTAACTGAACTTTATTCATATGGTCAAACTCACTGACATGTCTGGGGATTTCTCCCAGGTCCATGCCTATAGTTTTGGCCAGTGGTGATACTATGTATGGTTTTACCTGTTTAATTGTATCTCAGTGCAGTTCTCAGTTGTTATTTCTCAGGAAATACGGTATTATTTGGAAAATATCAGGATTAATTATTTTTTATTAGCCATTACTTATTATAGCAATTTATAAATTTTGAGTAAGCATATGCTATGGTATGTTTCAGCAAAATATATAAATACCAATTTATAAATGATCTGTTTAACTATTGTGAATAACTCTTTATTCTGTTTTTCTTAAATGTAATTAGGCTCTGCTTTCAGTTTTGCTTATCTTTTCCTCTTGTTTATTGGATTTTAGCTTGGACATTTATGGTAATTCCTTTCTTCCCCGTGCCAACTCTACTTACCTATGAAGGGCTTGTCACAGTGAATCTGAATATCAGCTAGGATTCCAAATTAACTTTTAAAAAATTATCTCTTCTAAGCGCAGTGAATGGAAAGACTGAAAATCAAATTTTACCTCAGTAAACACATAAACACATGCACACAAACAATCCTCAAGGCTTCTGAAATTACCCTCCATGCCCTCAGCTACAATAAAACTTTTTCTGAAAGCTTAGAACACTGTTATGTTTACAGGAACCCAGCTTGAAAGCAGCTAACTCAACAGGTTTCCTGTTGTTTAATGTCCTTCCATTTATTTAGAACACTTTCAATTTACTTCACCTTATTTAGGATATATAGATGTGAATTTGGAAACTCCTTACATATAAAGTTTATTCATCACTTGATTACAACAATTTCACTTAGAGAACCCCCCCTACTAAAAAAGAAAACCTTTCTTATAATTTATTTACCCATAAAATGATATACTTACTCTAACATATGGTGAAAATTTAAAAATTTATTAAAACATGCTTATCTTGATGGCTATATGGAACAATGTCCCAGAATCTTCAAGAGTGGTTTTGTCCAAATGAATTAAATTTGGAGCATGACTGGGAATAATAAACAATAGTTCCTAAGAAATGAAATTCATTGTTTTAAACATTGAAATAAGAAATAAAAAGTCTCCATTATCAATTTACTTTTACTTTTTGTTTGCCTTCCTGGGATTTATATTGAAATAAAAAGTTTTCATTTTATTTTTTGGATAAGAAAATCACTTTCATGTTTATAGTTCATTTATATTAGTTTTTCTTCTCGTATAACATGGACATATTCTGCTCTTTACATTTTTTTTTCTTTAACCACGTGAATTCACCCACAGTCTCTCTAACTTTAGTTCCTCTTTACTAATGTAACACAATTCTTTTAGCTATTTATTATGTATAAAAAGTTTCTAGGTCCTCAACTTTTCTCTCCCTTTGTGCTTTATTGTCCACAGGCTTTCCAGACAGATGTGATTCTGCTTGAAAAACGCAATTAGAGTTTTTAGAACGTCTTCTTTTAATTCCAAAATAGCAGACACCTTGGGTTATAAGGGTTTAAATAAAGGCAGTGGGTGTGAATTGCCACATATGAAATGCCAGTCTTTAACGATCTAGGTTGTTATGCTCCACTCAGATTTCAGGTAAAACTGATGCGCTGATTTCACACATGCTGATTTTTATTTTTGGGGTGCAAGAGGAATTTGTCAGGAATTGCTTACAATTTCTAAATTTCCTTTACATCTTAACAAATGCATATTTTAAAATTATTTATATTTTAATTGAATTTTAAAGTTGTTTCCAATCCTTTAGCCTCACCCTGTGATCCCACTTTCATCCTGGGCTGTGCTCCCTGCAATGTGATCTGCTCCATCGTTTTCCAAAATCGATTTCAGTATGAAGATAAGAATTTTCTTACCTTAATGGAAAGATTCAACGAGAACTTCAGGATTGCAAGCACCCCATGGATCCAGGTGAGGCCAGGATTTTATCTTCCCAAAAAGTCACTGTCTTTTCTTTTAAGTCCAAAATTCTGTGTGAACTAATCCTTGAAGTGCATGTTTGAACGCCACAGTCCTCAAGTAAACATCTGGGAAAGATGACTGAGCCTTTCATTTTACACAAAGAAACTTAATGCCTGAATATTGGCCTGGCTTTCAAGTCTGTTAGCTTCCCGACTCGTGGCTTTCCTACTAAACCCCAAAGCCGTGTTTCTGTACTTTGATGACCACCCAAAAACATGCCCATGTCATTCCATGGACATCTGGGCCTTTTCTGAAGGCTTCCATTACTCACTAGTTTCGTCCTCCAGTTCACACTTAGAGACCTCTTCACCATACTACTTGGCAGAAATATCCTAATTTGGGAAGGGAATATCTCCTTCAAGAAGAAAGAATAAGCCAGGCGCGGTGGCTCACGCCTGTAATCCCAGCATTTTGGGAGGCCGAGGCAGGCGGATCGCGAGGTCAGGAAATCGAGACCATCCTGGCTAACAAGGTGAAACCCCGTTTCTACTAAAAATACAAAAATTAGCCGGGCGCAGTGGCGGGCGCCTGTCGTGCTAACTACTCAGGAGGAGGCTGAGGCAGGAGAATGGTGTGAGCGCAGGAGGGAGAGCTTGCAGTGAGCCGAGATTGCACCACTGCACTCCAGCCTGGGCAACAGAGCGAGACTCTGTCTCAAGAAAAAAAAAAAAAATATATATATATATATATATATATATGTGTGTGTGTGTGTGTGTGTGTATATGTATGTGTGTATATATGTGTGTGTGTATATATATGTGTGTGTGTGTGTGTGTATATATATATATATAGATAGATATAGGTGACACTAGAAGCTACCAGAAAACACTGAGTAGGGCAGGGGTGTTTGGTGCTCCATTTGGGATCCTGGCTGATGAGGTAACTGGATTAGGAATGACAAAATAATTGGCTTTATAGTGTATGAACCAGAAACAAACATCCCAATTTTACCCTGTGCTGAGCTAGCATGCCCTAGGCTCTGCCTGAATAATAGTTGTGTGATCCTACGGAAGTCACTTAACTGCTTAGGTGTACAGTTGGGATTCAAGGTATCTTTGAGCGCCTCCAATTTCTAAAATACTTGTTCCATTTTTGAGGCTGCTATGTAGAAATGAAAATAGCAAGGACTATCTTTGTGCTCCAGTCACGTTGACCAAACTCCCTTAACATTGGTGTCATCTACGAAATGTGAATCATAGTACTTTATACCGTCTTATATTTCAAGGTTGTAGGCAAGAATTGTTGTAAAAATGAGAAAATTGACATAAAGATACTTTTATTCAATAAAAATAATGTATTATATAGAAAATAACTCTCATTTTCTATTCTCTGGTCAGAATTTTCTCCCTCAAATCTTTCTGTGAGTAGAGAGAACTGCTGTACATTCACAATAAAAATTTACCCATTAAGATCTATACCATATATTATTTATATTTATAGCTATAATTTCTAATCAGGACTTGGTATATGGTACATATGTCTTTATGATATGTTTATATTTAATAATTTTTTTTTTTAGGTTTGCAATATTTTTCCTTTTCTCATCGATTACTTCCCAGGGACTCACAACAAATTCCTTAAAAATGGTGCTTTTACAAAAAGTTATATTTTGGAGAAAGTAAAAGAACACCAAGAATCACTGGACATTAACAATCCTCGGGACTTTATTGATTGCTTCCTGATTAAAATGGAGCAGGTAAGATGTTTGCAACAGATCAGCATTTTGATTTCTTTTCCATTTCGTGCTTCATTAAATCCTTCTCTAATTATTAGGAATGTTTAAATGGTCAGACCCATAATGCTTGATTAGCATTTTAAGAATATATAGTATTTATGTGTCTGCAGTAAACATCATGGAAAACATAAGATTATCAAATGGCTAGAATACATTGACATTCTTCTTCAAATAAAAATAATCTACCAGAGGAGAATAGAATGGACACTGCAGCCAAAGGGAAGCAATTACAAATGAGGTAGCAAATATAAAATATTACCATAAATTGAATATGGGCATTATCATTACACATAATGTATGTGAGAATGGAAAAGAATGGCTTAACCAAGGTGGACTTCCTGAATGTCCCATAGATTGAAATATACCTTAAATTATTCACAGTAAGGAACAGGGGAGAGGTTTCAGATGGGTTGAGTAGTTTGTGGAGAGGTAGATGGTAAGAAAGAGTAGGTGGATGGAACAGAGAAACCTGAATTTGGTGCAACCTAAAGTGAATTTGCACCAATAAGGAGTTAGAGGTTGGTGTCTCTCAGGTAACCTGTAAGCATGAATCCTGTTGTCACTGCACTGTTTATTGAACAAACTCTTTTTGTTCCTACTGAATTGTCTTGGCAATCTTACCAAACACCAATGGATTATAAAGGGGAAAGTTTGTTTGTGGGCTCCCAATTCTTCCCAATTGATCTATTTCTGTCCTTATGCCGGTAATACATCATTTTGAAATCTTAATTACTATAGCTGAATTACTATACTGAATTACTATAGATAAATTACTATAGCTACATCTTAAATGCAATAGTTTGATACCATAGTATCAAGTTTTAAAATCAAGAAATGAGAGTCCTCAAAGTTTGTTCTTTTATTTTTTTTATTTTTATTTGTATTTTTACTTTTCTTTTGAGATGGAGTCTCGCTCTATTGCCAGCCTGGAGTGCAGTGGCATAATCCTGGCTCATTGCAACTTCTGACTCCCAGGTTCAAGTGCTTTTCCTGCCTCAGCCTCCCGAGTAGCTGGGACTACAGATGCACACCACCACGCCCAGCTAATATTTGTATTTTTAGTAGAAACAGGATTTCACCACGTTGGCCAGGATGGTCTCGATCTCTTGACCTTGTAATTGGCCTGCCTCTGCCTCCCAGAGTGCTGGGATTACAGGCATGTGCCACCACACCCGGCCAAGTTTGTTCTTCTGAAGACTATTTGGTTTATTTCGGGTTCGTTGAGTCTCCACATGAATTTTAAGATAAGCTTGTTCATTTCCCCAAAGAATTCAGTTGGGATTTTGACAAGAATTGCATTAAATCTGTAGATTGATTCAATGAATTATGACATTTAAAGATTGAGGTGGAATTCACAATCCATACATTATCCAATTTAAAGTGTATACTTTATTGGTATTTAATGTAATCACAATGTTATGCAATTAACAGCTCTCTTTACTTTCAAAACTTATCACTCTGTAAAAATATACTATAGTCATTAAATGATCACATCTCATTCCCACCTCATCATGTAGTAAATAGTAATCTGCTTTCTGTCTCTATGGATTTCCCTATTGCTAGCATATGTGACCTTTGTTTCTGACTTCTTTCACTTACCATAATGACATGGAGGCTCCAAAAAGTTGTAGCATGTGTCAGCATTTTTGGTTTTTTGTGGCTAATATTCCATTATACATGTACACATAACAATTTGTTTATTATTCATCTGTTGGTGTATATTTGTGTTATTTTCATCTTATGGCTTTTATAAATAATGCTGCTATGTATATTTGTTATAAGTTTCTTCATGGACATACTTTCATTTTCCTTGGGTATAGTCCTAGGAGTGTTAATTCTGGGTCATGTGGTAATTTTATGTCTAATTTTTTGAGAAGCAATTAACATTTGTAAACTGAATGCACCATTTTACAATTCCACTGGCAATATTTGAGGGTTCCTATTTTTCCATCTGTTAATATTTTTTAATTTTACAGTATTTTGTGTCAGTGAAAAGTGGAATTTCATTGTGATTTTGACTTATATATACTTAATGACCAATGAAAAATGAACATCTTTTCATATATTTTTTCCTATTTTCATATGTCCTTTATAGAAATGTTATTCAAATCCTTTGTGCATTCTTTAATTGAGTTGCTTATCATTTTATTGTTGAACTGTAAGAATTATTTGTGCATTCTGAACATTAAATCCCTATGTATGTATGATAAGAAAAATAGTTTCTTCCATTCTGTAGGTTGTGATTTCACATTCTTAATTATGTTCTTTGATGTACAAACATTTTAGTTTTATTATTTTATTTATTTTGTTTGTTTCCTTTTTTCTCTATTTTTTGATTTGATGTACAAAAGCATTTTACTTTTCTAAAGTCCAGTTTATCTATTTAATCTTTCGTTGCTTTAGTGTCAAATCTATGAATTCATTGCCAAATCTGAAGGCATTAATATTTACCCCTATGTTTTATTCTAAGAATTTTATAGTTTTAACTCATATTTGAGTTTTTCATCCACTTTCAGTTATATTTTGCATATGGAATGAAGTAGGAGTCTAACCTCATTCTTTTGCATTTGGTTATCAAATTGTTGCAGCACTGTTTGTTGAAGAAACTCTTCCTTTAGACTGAATGTTCTTGGGATGCTTGTTGAAAATGAACTGGCTATTGATGTTTACAGTTATGTTTGGGATTTAAATTTTATTCCATTGTTCTTCTCTTTCCTTGTGCCAGTACCACACTATTTTCATTTTTACATTTATGTTTGGGATTTTACCTATTAGATGTTTACATTTATGTTGGGATTTAAATTTTATTCCATTAATCTTGTCTTTCCTTATGCCAGTACCACACTGCTTTCACTAATATAGCTTTGTTTCGAAGTTTTCAAGTTGGAAATTGATTCCATTCCCTGTAGTTGCATATAAATTCTGGATTGATTTTCCCATTTCTGCAAAACAGGCCATTAGAATTTTAATAGTGATTGCACTGAATCTTTACATTACTTTGGGGAGCATTGCCATCTTAACAATCTTATGTCTTTCAACCCTAGAGTATGAGTTTTTTTATTATTTAGATATTTTTATATTGTTTTAGGCAACGTTTGATTATTTTCAGTGTGAGAATCTTTCACCTCCTTGTTTATAGATTTTTAGAGCTTTCATTCCTTTGCATGCTATTGCAAATGTAATTATTTCCTTGATTTCATTTTCAGATTGTTCATTGCTGGGACACAGCTGAGTTTTGCATTGATCTTATACTCTGAGATTTTGCCTAAAACATTTATGATATGGTTTGTCTGTGTCCCCACCCAAATCTCATCTTGAATTATAGTTCCCATATTCCCCGCATGTGGTGGGAGGGACCTGGAAGGAGGTAACTGAATCATGGGAGCAGTTTCCCCCATGATATTTCCATGATAGTGAGTAAGTTCTCTTGAGATCTCATGGTGTTATAAGGGGTTTCCCCCTTTGCTCAGCTCTCATTCTTCTCCTTCCTGCTGCCTTGGGAAGAAGGACATAAACATATCCTCTTGCTTTCCCTTCCACCATGACTGTAAGTTTCGTGAGGCATCCCTAGCCAATTAAACCTCTTTTCTTTATAAATTACCAAGTCTCAGATATGTTTTTATTAGCAGCATGAGAATGGACTAATATAACTTATTAGCTCTAGTTTTTTTGTGTGAATTGTATGGACTTATCTTTATATAGAATCCTGTTATCTTTAAATAGAAATAGTTTTACATCTTCCTTTGTTATCTAAATGCCTTTTATATCTTTTGGTTGCCTAATTGTTCTGGTTTGGACTTTAAGTACTACGCTGAATAGTAGTGGTGAAAGTGTATACATTTTTTTTTTCCTCCCTGATTTTAGGGCATAAGCTTTTAGACTTTCACAATTTAGTATGAAGTACCTTTGGAGTTTTTATAAATATGTTTTATTATGATAATGAATTTTCCTTGTGTTCATAGTTTTTGGGTGATTTTACCCTGAAGAGTGTTGAATTTTGTCCTATGCTTTTTCTGCTTCTCTTGAGATAATCATATTGTTTCTTTCCTTTCATGCTAATAATGTGATGTATTAAAGTGATTGGTTTTCTTGTTGAACCACTCTTGCATTTCTGGTATAGATTCTACTTTGTCATGATGTATAAGCCTTAAACATTTTTGAAAAGTGTGTCAAAATATGCATAACATACAAGTTGCTATATCAGACATTTTAAATGCATAATTTAGGGACATTAAGTATATTCACATTGTTTTACAACCATCACCTCTATTTCCAGAATTACTTCATCTTGCAAAATAGAAACTCTATACCCAATGTACAATTTCTCCCTCCTCCCAGCCCCTAGCAACCATTCTAACAAACCAAAACATCCTGTTTTCTGTGTCTATGAATTTAACTGTTTTAGGTACTTCATAAAAATAAAATCATACGATATTTGTCTTTTGTGACTGGACTTTTTCACATAGCATGATAACTGCATAGTTCATTCATGCTACCACTCTACCATAAAAAGAATAAAATAATGTCTTTTGTGGCAACTTGGATGGAATTGGAGGCTGTTATACCAAGTGAAGTAACTCAAGAATGAAAAATCAAATACTGCATGTTCTCACTTATAATATGTCTTATTTTTTCATTCACTCTTAAGTTAATGGGCACTTAAATTTACTCCATATCTTTGCAATTGTAAATTGTGTTGCAATAAACAGGCATGTGCAGGTGTCTTTTTGATATAATGACTTCTTTTCCTTTGGGTAGATAACCAAGAGTGGGGTTCCTGGATTGAATAATAGATCTACTTTTGGTTGTCTGAGAAATTTCTATACTGTTTTCCATAGAGGTTATACTATTTTACATTCCCACCAGCAGTGTATAAGTGTTCCTTTTCTCTGTACCCACACCAACGTCTATTGTTTTTTTGACTTTTTAATAATGGTCATTCTGACTAGGGTAAATGTGGT